GACCCCGCCTGAGCCCCAAATCCAGCCCCTTCTCCGGCTTCATCGTCTACCCCGACTGAGCCCCGGGGCACCGGGACAGCCCCGGGACCACCCCAGAACCTCCCTGGAACCGGGACAGCCCCGGGACCACCGGGAACCGGGACCCCGCCTGAGCCCCAAGCCCAGCCCCTGCTCCGGCTTCAGCATCGACCCCGAGCGACCCCGGGACCACCGAGACACCCCCGGGACCCCCCTGGAACCGAGACACCCCCGGGACCCCCCTGGAACCGAGACACCCCCGGGACACCCCCGGGACCCTCCCCGGGACCCCCCCCAGGACCCCCCGGCCCCGCCACCGCCGGTGACAGCGGTGACATCCCCGCCCCCAGTGTGACACCGGACACGCGACACCCGCCCCGCACGGCAGCACCCCGAGGGGTCGCGGTGTCCCAGTCTGTGCCAGTCTGTCCCAGTCTGTCCCAGTTTGTCCCGGTTTGTCCCGGTTTGTCCCAGTCTGTCCCATTCTGTCCCCAATAAAAGCATCGGGGTGGCTCAGCCTCTGCCGGGGGGTGACACAGGGGACAAGGGGGGGACCCAGGGGACCCAGGGGTGGCACAAGGTTCAGCCGGGGGAGGGGACCCGGGGGTGACACAAGGTTCAGCCAGGCGGCTGGTGGCACCTCCAGGCTGGCCAGAGATGTCCCCGCAGCTTTTGTCACCTCCGCAGTGTCACGCCTTGTCACCTCCCCCCTGCAGTGACAGCGGCGGTGACAGCGGCGGTGACAGTGACAGTGACAGTGACAGACACCCCCCGGCTGTGCAGGGACAATGCCACCCCCGTGGGGACACCGCTGCCACGGGGGGGGGTGGCAGCGCCGCCCTGAGCCGGGTGGGACACAGGAACCCCCCGGCCCTGTCCCCAAGTGCCACCAGCCCTGTCCCCAAGTGCCACCAGCCCTGTCCCCAAGTGCCACCAGCCCTGTCCCCAGCTTGTCCCCACCCTCATCCCCAGCCCTGTCACCTCCTGTCCCCATCCCTGTCCCCTTCCTCGTCCCTTTGTCCCCCCATCCTTGGCTCTGTCCCCATCCCATTTTCACACCTGTCCCCGTCCCCTCCTGTCCCCATCTTTGTCCCTTTGTCCCCCATCCCTGTCCCCGTCCCATTTCCATCCCCGTCCCCTCCTGTCCCCCATCCCCAATCCTGTCCCCTCCTGTCCCCCATCCCCAACCCTGTCCCCGTCCTTGTCCCTTTGTCCCCATCCCATTTTCATCCCTGTTCCCAATCCTGTCCCCTCCTGTCCCTGTCCCCAATCCTGTCCCCATCTTTGTCCCCATCCCTGTCCCCTCTGTCCCTGTCCCCTCTGTCCCTGTCCCCAATCCTGTCCCCATCCCTGTCCCCATCTTTGTCCCTGTCCCCTTTGTCCCTGTCCCTGTCCCCATCCCTGTCCCCATCTCTGTCCCTGTCCCCTCTGTCCCTGTCCCCATCTTTGTCCCCAATCCCGTCCCTGTCCCCTCTGTCCCTGTCCCCTCTGTCCCTGTCCCCATCTTTGTCCCCAATCCCGTCCCTGTCCCCTCTGTCCCTGTCCCCTCTGT